GTACACGCAACGTGGAGTTATTAGTTAGCGTGTCAGTAACAGTTGGCATAGAAATTGACCCTGCTCAAGATCGTAACGCTGACCAAAAATTAAAAAAAATGGACGAATGTGAATTGGGACGAATCGACTTGTGGGACGAATGTGAATTGGGACGAATCGACTTGTGGGACGAATGTGAATTGGGACGAATCGACTTGTGGGACGAATGTGTTGGGACGAATGTGAATTGGGACGAATTGACTGTGAATCAATTATAGATAGTTAAAACAAAAAGTATTTGAACTTTTGATGGTTGTTTAACATCTATGCACGGTTACTAAACTAGTAACCATGATCTATGAGAACCAGAAAATTGTTAGTAGTTCGAATTTTTGCACAGTCGAAAATAAAGGGGAAATTCAACAAGCGATCGCAAAAGCGAGCGATTGAAAAGCGAAAGCGGGCGAGAGGTTGGGCGAAATGAGTTCTGTACTTCTTTGTTTGATGAAGCGATGCTGATGCCACATTATCGCCATAATGAGGCCACAATGAAGCGAAGTGATAACCGCCTAACTTTTTAATGTCGCGACATTGAAGCGATGCTGAAGCCATAACAATGCCATAATGATGCGATGCTGAAGCGAAGGTGAAGCTGAAGTGAAGCCAAAGCTTCCGCGAGAACTGTACTGTATGCGTCATAAGACAGTTCTGTGCTGAATAGCACCACCTGTGTTGACACAATGATATAGTACTACATATGTACCTTTTAATTTAAGACTTTTTTTCTTACAGAGCACTGATTTGCAGTGAGACATAGACACATTTTTACCTAAAAATTGAGGCAAATCTCAAATATGAAGAATAACACCAGAAACCTCTCACCTGCATAATCTAAATCTATAATTGGCCAGAGCAGCGTGAAACACAGCTGACTTGGAATGTAGTAAAACGGAGTCATTTTACAAGTGGGAGTATCACAATGTTGTATGTGTGATCCAAACTCATCCATGATGTACCACACTGGTACCTGATCCTCTGCACTGACTTCCTAAGAAATGGAAACAGAAAACATACCAAAAAAAAAATTTCATTCATAGGTAATTAATATTTAACGATAAACTTTAACAATTTTTTTCAAATCACATTACTGAGAATTTACAAAGATGTACTCAAACATGATAATCAAAAATGCGATGAAGGATGAAAAGTGTTATGAATATACAATTCAATAAAAAAAAATACCATATAACAGTATTGGCCAAGATGCACAGTAACATTCACAATATTTGTTTACAAAACTTTTTTTATAAGCATTCATGATAACATAAAATGGTATTTCTACTCACTTTAATACCCTATTTACTCTATTGTTTTTGTTATTTGGCCTATAGCGCCCTCACAATTTCCTTTGTTTTTATGCAAATATTGAAAAACATTGTTTTATTTCAATCACCGACAAGTTTCACATGAATTTCAATTTACCTGGTTACCAATATTATAAGTCTGGTTAAATTTCCACATTTCTCTCATGACAGTTTCAACTAAATCCTTGGTTCCGGTGGCATCTGTTGGTATATGCATTAATGCCACCATTCTATCCAGCAAACCTGGAATTTCCTCCAGCTGTTGTCTAGCATCACTGACTCTGTAAGTCCAGGCATGGTCTACTAGATAAATACTACGATAAGAAACAAAACAAATAAAGTCAGAAATCATCAATATCAATATATACAGCTTAAATGGAAGTAGGGGTTTCAATTCAAGAAGACAGAATTTGTCAATGAAAGAAAATTGCTGAATTTATAGCGGTAAACATTTCACTCACTGCTTTAACATAATCATTTGCTAATTTCTATGCACTTTCCCATATTTGTTGTTGGCATTGAACCAAATGGATATACATCAACATAGTTCATCAATCTAATCTGCTGAAAAATGGTACATGCATTCACACCAGTGTTCTTCAACATTCCACAATTGTGGATAAAAAAATTTCATAAATTTGCATATAATTTTAGTGAGTTTCTAGGGGGATAATTGTTTTCTATTACATGTATATACAATGAGCGGTTATCTCCCAAAATGCATTGCATATGTGCAGATACATGCTCAGTAGTGCACAATTTTAATATGGCTAGAACTGCCTTAATTAAGGACAGCTGTAAAATGATTACAATTCTTTATTTCAAAATGTTCTGCATGAATTTATTGATTTGAACATGTCATCAACTTTTGTGTTTCTTTCTCCAATACGAAAATTTTTTTTGGGAAAGCTGCCTGAAAAAATTCTGAAAACTGGAGAATCTTGGAATTATTGTTATGGAAATCCATGTTTTATTTCATAACAAGTCATTGAAAATGAAACAGTCCCCGTTAAATGTTTGAAAGTTCTCTTTGTGCACGTCATTTTAAAGCGGAGGGGTTGTCGCGAGCGTGTCCTTGAAACTTGAGTTTTAAGTAGCGTATACAACAGATTGTTTGTTTACATCAAAACACGTGTTCCGTGCAGTAGTAATATGGCCAAAAATAAAAACAGCCGTTATTCGGCCATCTTTGATCTGATTATGAAACACACTGATATGTATGATGTATGTGCCAAATACGAATGAAAATCGTACATAAATTGTGGAAATATAGTAGTAAGGCCAAAAAGTAAGATGGCTGTCAATCGGCCATTCTCATGTACATGCATTCTAACATGTATAAAGTACATGTATGTGCCAAATTTGAATGAAAACTGACAGAGCACGTCCAAGATACCGCATAAAAAACAAAAAAAAGATGCCTGCCAGTCGACCATATTTGATCCAATTGCAAAATAAATCGTCATGGACATGTACATTGTATCCTAACATGTATAATCTATGTACCAAGTTTGAATGACAATTTACTGACAAAGCATGTCCAAAATACAACATTTTCAAAAAACAAGATGGCTGCCAGTCGGCCATTTTGAATTGAATCGCTAAACCACTGCATGTGCATATGTCCCACATAAGGAACTAGGCACATCCAAAGAATGAACGGAATCAGTCCACAGAATTCTGAAATATGACTCTGGACAGACTAACGCACGGACACACGGACGAACGGACGAACAGACTCAGGAACTCACGAACGGTCGGGGGCATGTATCCTAACATGTATGATCTATGTACTAAATTTGAATGAAAACTAACAAAGCATGTCCAAAATACAACATTTTCAAATCAAAGAAAGCTTAGAAAGAACTCCCAAGTGCTGAGAGTATTGGAGACACATTAAATATAATTCGAAATTACTTAGCTGAAAACTAATTATGCAAATCAGAAAATTAATATTAACAGATTTGAGTGTAAAACTAATGAGGTCAGCGCAATGTAACAGAAAATCTATGTTTCCAAGTTTAATTGAAACGTGATTAGAACCAAAAAATTATGAATTATTATGCTTATTATGGAATTAATATGAACAGATTTTTACCCCCAAACTAATCAGGTTTGTACATTGTCCTAGAGCATCTTTGTACTAAGTTTGATTGAAATGGAATAATTAGTAGTATAGATATCAGTGTGAAAGCTTAAAATTGGTTAATTATGCAAATTAGGTAATTAACATGTACAGATTTTAACCCACAATTATCCAGGTCTGTCTATTGTCCTACAGTATCCATGTACAAACATTCATTGATATGTGATGATTAGGACCTGAGATATCAGTGTGAAAGTTGGTTAATTATGCAAATTAATTAATGTGATTAATATGCACAATTATTTATCCTAAAACTAATCAGGTCTCTGCATAGTCCTAAAGGATCTATGTACCAAGTTTCATTGAAATGCTATGATTAGTACTTGAGATACTTGTGGAAAAGCTGAAAATTAACTAATTATGCAAATCAAACAATCAATTTCTGCATAGACCTTGAGTATCTAAGTACCAAGTTTCATTGAAATGTAATGCTCACTACTTATATCAA